ACTCTGTCCTCAACAAAATAGGAAGGGAGATGGAAGAGAGGAGGAATGAGAAGAAAGAAGGAAAGAAGGAAGAAGAAGAAGAAGAAGGAAGAGGAATGAGAATGAAGGAAGAAGAAAGAAAGAAAGAAAGAAAGAAAGAAAGAAAGAAAGAAAGAAAGAAAGAAAGAAAGAAAGAAAGAAAGATTGAATGTCCGAGTGCAGCCCTACAGCCGCACCCGGGACCGCTGGGCAGCAGGCTTCTCCCAGAGGCACCTGGCGTCCCTGCTCCCAGGCTGACAGCCCAGCAGGCTGCTCCACAAGCACTCGGTCACTTCTGGGAGGTCATCCCGATGCCAGCCGGCCGGGGACGATTTCCCACTCGAAACGAATCCAGATTCCTCTTCGACTAAAGTCCCTGTCCCCCTGGTGCAGCACAGCCCTTAGCACGACCCACCGACCCACCGGAAGGCTGCCCCCTCCAGAGAGATTAGCTTTTCCATCGCACAGCCATTTCGCTGCATCACACTCCCCTGGGCCTGCCCTTGACTTGCGGACTTAACTCGAGGAGGCTGCGTTTTTCCTTTGTGTTCCTGGAGGAGCAGGTGATTGCCTAGAGCTCCTCTGCCCTAGCCGAGGCAGGGGAGCAAGACTGGGAGGAGGAAAGAACCCCGGCTGGCTCAGCTCCCTGTGCCTCGGTTTCTCCATCAGTCCGAGATTGTGAGAGGCTGGACTTCGGGGCTTCCTTCGATGCCTCTTCCCTCCCAGATGCTCCAGGCCTGTGACTCACCCATCCTTAGACAGAGGGTCTGGAGATGGCCTACCTGTCCCGAAAGCAGATGGCATGGCCTGAGAGCAACTGTTCTGGGGCCCAGGGGTCACCTGCTGGGGCGTGGCAGCACACGGAGCACATTAGTTGTCACGAATGGCCCAGGCTAGCCGGAGTGTGAGGGCTAAATGGATGCCCCAAAGCGAACACGCCCTAGTCTCCCAGATTTTCCTTGCTGCCCGAGCTCAGGCCTAGCATGCCAGGCCACCCAGCCCTCTCGCCCTCCCTGCCTCGCTCCCCTGGGTCAGCAGCCCAGCTGGGCAGCCTTCCAGCTGTGGACAGAGGCAGGGCTGCCAGGGGCTCAGCTGCCCACTGGAGTGAAGGTGGGGAGGGAGGGCGAGATGGCGTGTGTGGGCTGAGCAGAGGGCAGAGGCCATTGGAAAGATCAGAGGAGAAAAGTCACCCCACTGACAGCTTTGAGGAAACTCCTCCACAAATCCTACAGAGTCTGGGGCTGACGCAAGAAGCACATGGGCTTACTGGTTGAAGGCATCTGTTAGGCCTGGATTCAAATCCTGCCTTTGCTCTAGACAAGCTGCCTGGGCAACTTACTGAACCTCCTTAAGCCTCAGACCAAAGTTTATCTAAAGAATTGTCTCTAGAATGGGGAGAACAATAATCTCTGCTAGCGGAGAGCCTATGAACATGAAATAAGGTGTGTGTGTGTGTGTGTGTGTGTGTGTGTGTGTGTGTGTGTAAAATGTAGCGTTGTGCATAGCACACACTGGCCAGGAGCTAAAAAACACAACACAGCAAGAGCTGCCCAGGATCCCGACACAGTCCTGGCAGGAGTCAGGAGAAGGAAGAGCCACAGGGAGTTAGCGCCAACAGGAACCTCAGAGACCTCAAATCCAATGCCTTCATTTAACAGATGGCAGGGAGCAAAGGCTCAGAGAGGTTGAAAAACTTGTCTAAGGCTGCAGAGCTATTTAGCAACAGAGCAAGGGTCAAACTCAGCTCTGCCCGACTTGAAAACACACACGGCCCCTTCGCTCCACTCCAACCCATCTGGCCACAGACAGCCCCTTGTGGGGTCTCCTTCCCACAGAGGGCTTTGGTCCGGGAGCCCCCCATCAGCCCTCCTTCCTGCGACCAGCCCCCTGGAACAGGCACCAAATTACCGCAGAGTGCCCCCGAGAAAGCCTTGGGCGAGGAGGGGGTGGTGGAGATTCCCTAGAACCAGGAGCTGAGGGGAATAGGTGTCGATTACCAAGCATGCAGAGGCGCTATGCAAATAACATGCAAACTACATGTAAACGACCACAGGTTATTGATGAATCAACAATTTGAGCTTTTTGAAAAAAAATTTGTAACTGGATCACACTATATGATGTGACTCTCTTTTCTCTCTTGGCTCTCTGCCAAGTGGAAAGACATAAAATTTGTGCCTGAGCGACCGAACCATGCCTCGCTCAGCGAGGGGCCGGCTGACTCCTGTATCCAGATGCCCCGGACACGCCTCGCCGATGCCCGATGCCCGGGCAGCACGACTCCCCGGTACCCAGGGCCGCGTCTGCCTTTGACTGGTGCGTCGGGGCAGCGAGTGTCCCTGGGGGCCTCTGGCTGAGACCTCGGACAGACCCAGCAGCCTGCTGAGTCCAGCTGCCCGGAGGGGAGCAGAGCGTGCTGTTCCTCCTGCAGGGAGCCCCCGGCGGGGACAGGCAGGGCCCAGAGGGGCCCAGTACCCAGGCCAGGGTCCCTGCTTGAGGACCCAGGCCCCGCAGCCCTTCCCTAACTCAGGAGGAAGGCTCCTTTCCTGGGCTCCACTCCCAGGCGCTGCCGCTGGTGGCCCGGAAGGAGCCGTGCTGAGCAGGTGGGGCAGCTCTGGCCAGCACCCTGGGGTGGAAGGAGGGCAGATCTGGACTGCAGCAAGGAGGTTAGAGGTTAGTCATCTGGGAGGCCTGCCTGAGGCTCCACCGTGTGTGCTCTGGAAACTTGGCCAAAGCAATCAGCGTTCACTGTGGATCTGCAATGTGCCAGACACACACCGCGCCGGGCATTCTGGAGAATTTGCAGAAACAGACAAGACGTGGTCACTGCCTGGGTCACTGCCCCTGGGGCGCTGACAGTCCACCAGAGGAGAAGAAACACGTGTAGATGTAACAACAGTGCTTTGACACCTCCTTGGAAGTGTGTGTGTGTGTGTGTGTGTGTGTGTGTGTGTGTGTGTGTTGCCATATAAAAGCACCAGCGTGGGGGGGAGGGCTGCCCCACCCAGGCTTACTTGGATAATAAAACTACAAACAGAGACCTACCACTTGCGGCTTGCATATAATATGTTAGGCATAATAATACTAAGCTCTCTGTGTAAGTTCCTTATGTTCTTCTAATAAATAGGAAGTAGATACTACTATTAAAGTCCTCTTTTATAGGTGAGGAAATTAAAGCTCAAAGAGGTTAAATAAGTGGCTTCCCCCAGGCTGCACAGCTAGAAGTTCAAAGCAAGGACTTGAACCCAGGCCTGCGGGAGCCCCTGCGCAGGCCCTGGCCTCGCTCCTCAAGACCCCCGCTCCGAGGCTACAGCAGCTGCTGCCTAAAGGAATGAGCCTGCAGTTCCCACAGCCCCAGCCCCGGCCCCCCAGGGCAAGCAGGGCACATTCTGTGGCCATGACCTCCGTCACAGCTGGAAGGGGCCTTTGGTTCGCCTTGGCACCCAGTCAGCAGACAGAACCGGAGCAGCCTCCTCCACGGAACATCTGTGCGAGTTCCCAGATGTGGCCGGGCTTGGCTGTCGTGGTCCTGCTCGGAGGCCCAGCCCTTCTCCTGGGTGGAGGGCAGCGTTGTCTGCATGGCCCAGCAACAACCCGGGCTACAGGCGGCACGCAGGCCCCGCAGTGGCTGAGCTTGCGGGGCTTCCGGCTGCATCCCCTTCCCGGCCCCGTTCACCGGGAAGCCTGCGGGCTGTGAGGGAGGGGGACGGGGTGCTGGGAATGGGGGAGTTCGGAAGGAAGGCAGACCATTGGACCCAGGCTTTGCCCCCAGCCAGCTGCGGGAGACCCTCTGAATCTGTTTCTCCCTCCCACGGCTCCTGCTCCACCTCCCTTCCAGGCACACGATAACAACAGGAAAAAATTGTGCATCAAAAAATAATAATAATAATACTTTGGAAAGTTAAATATGCACAAATGAAACACAAAGGGAGAAATGTGGGTGCCTAGGCCTGCCCGGGCAAGGGGCCAAGCGAAGCCAGAGGCCCTACGTCCCAGGCAAGGAAGCTACGCTGGGGACGGCAGGTGCCGGAGATGACCCAGAGTTCCCCAGTAGGAAAGGACTCTACTGGTGACGAGAATTTAAAGAGGGGCAAGCACAGCTCACAAAAGTGGCCCAGCAGGGCCAGTCCCTGGCAGTATGCCCAGGCACTCATTGGCACTTGGTGGCCCAGGCACTGCCTGGCGATGATATTATGGTCTGGCAGGTCCGGGCAGGGAGCCCCAGCATGGACTGGACACCCACGCCGAGGACTGCACCAGCAGGCCACCCCCCGCCCCAGTGCTGCCTGGAGACGGCACAAGCACCTCTACTGCACAGACACACACAGTTTTGCAACAGAACGGGAACATTAAGAGCAGGCGCCAGCGTTTTTCCCTCCTCCTGCCTGCAACAGAGATCCCCTAAGTGGGAGTTGGGCAGAGGTAATCAGACCACTGGGTTCAGCAGGACAAGCCCAGAGGCTGCAGCTGGCTGGCACAGAGATACCTGGAGAACAAGAGAGCTAAAGAGCGCCTTCAGGAAGCTGCGTGGGGCTGGAGAAGCAGCACTTGTGGCCCTGGTGTGCCACCCTCAGTACGTCCTCACCCTGGCCCTAGCTCTCTGCTCTGACCCTTCCTCTTCCCTGGGACTGGTGGAGCTCAGCTCGTTCCCACCCAGAGCTCACTGTGACCCCATCCTGGTGGCCTCTCTAAATTCCCCACCTCTACAGCAGGCCCGACGGGCAGCCTGGGCTTCCCTGTCTGCAGCAGCTTCAGCTCTGGGGTCCTGGGCACTGCCAGGTTCGTGCTCCCCCAGCCACCCAGCCCCCTCCTGCTTCCCTGCCACTGAGAGCAGAGGACAGGAAGGCAGAGTGAGGACTGGGGCACGATGGCCCAGGGAAGCCCTGGCTTACCTGGGGTCTTATGCTCTACTTCTATCCTTTCTAAATGGCCCTCGAGCCAGCCCGCTGGGGTGCCGCGAGTACCTTCGGCTGCTGTGGACTCACCGGAGGGGGATCTTGACACGGAGGTAGCGGTCCACAGCAATGGCCAGCAGGGCCAGGATGGAGCTCTGGGTGAGGATGAGGACTGGGCAGGCAACCATGAGGCAGGTGTGGAAGTAGGTCTGCGGCCCAATGTTGATGAGGATGGCAAGTGGGATGACCAGGGCGCCCACTGCCACGTCAGCCACCGCCAGCGACACGATGAAGCAGAAGGTGGCATCCCGCAGTGCCTGGTTCACCTTCACCGCCCAGATCACCAGCACGTTCCCGGGCACGGAGACCAAGGCGATGAGCACCTCGATGCTGATGTAGGCGGCCTGGAAGGCCGAGATGGAGGGCGGCATGGCGGGCCGGGGCTGGGCACATCAGCAGGCAGGCGCCGAGGGGCACGCGGCAGGCACCTGTGGTCAGGAAGACGGGGATGGGGAGGCCTGCGTGGGAGGTGGGAATCCCGCAGCCCTGTGGAGATGTGGCCCACTTGGCACACCCAGCGCCTGCCCAGGCTGGCAGGGGTCCCCAGCCCTTTCCCTGCCTAATCTCTGTCCCTGCCCTTATCACCCCAGAGGTTCCATTCAGCAACTGAAAATAGCAGCAGCCTTGCAGCTCTGTTATCAGGTGCGAGGCAGCTCCCAGCAGGCACACACAGCGCAGGGGGCTCCGTGCCCACCTCTGCCCACCCTGCCCTGAGAACAGGACGCAGGCAGCTCACCAACCCGCCCGCTGGCCCGCAGGGGGTCCTACAGCCAGTGCCCAAACTTCCCGGGACCTGGTGCCTCCGCCGGGAGCTCCGGGCCCCGTCGCGGGGCTGGGCTGGGCTCTGGGCACCGAGCGGCAGCTCATAGTCCCCCAGGCTCCCGCCGCAGCGCGCCGGCCCGGCCTTTCAAGCAATCACATGGTGCGGCGAGGCTCGCCCCGGCCGCTTTTAAAGAGGTAGCGCCCGGGTTCCACCTGGGACTGGCGCGGCAGAGGTGGGTCTCGGGGACTGAGCTCAGGATCAGGCCAGGGCGCGGGCTCCCCATTCCCCAGCGTGCGCGCACACCTGCCCCGCGCCCACCCGCTGGAGATGTCGCGGGTGCCCGGCTCCGAGCCGTCCCCTGGTCCGGCTCCAGCTCTGTCAGGGACCCTTGCCGGTCGCCTGCCCCACGGGGACATTACAGTCGCTTCTCTCCTGCACCCCATCTGGGAGCCCCAAAGGCAAACGGAGGCTCAGACTTACCCAAGGTCACCAAAGCTGGCAGCGCTCCCAGCCACCTGAGCTGTTCTGTCCCAGCGCCCCCACACCTCGACGCCTTCAGCAGCCGCTGGCTCTGGGGATGCCTGCAGAACCCACGGCCCGCCTGTCAGGTCCGGTCCAGGGGAATGAGACTGGAGACTCGGGCGCGGCGCCTCCGTCGCCCCCGGCGCGGCGCGGGAGCAGAGTGACAATCGGGCTCCGCACACCGGGAGGGGGCGGGGGCGGCGGCAGCACCCGCGGGCCCCTCCCTCCTCACCCTCCGTCTCCTCCCCCATCCCCTCCTCTAAACAAAGGAAGTGATACTGGGTGAGAAAAGCTACAAAAATGTGAGCTTTGTCGAAGGGTCTGGTGTGTGCACCCGGCCTCCGGGCTGGACAGAGGCGCCGCCTCCCCGTGTCCACTCTCTCCCTTCCACACGCGGGATGCCCGGAAGCCCTGGTCTGGCCTCCAGAGACCCCTCCCTGTCACAGCGCACGCAGCACCTCCCCTGCAGGGGTCCAGGATGCCCACCCTCAGACCCGCGGGGAGATGGCAGCCCTGGCACCCTCCCCGCGCGCCCTGCTCGCTCCGTGAACCGCTCTCCTCTCCGCAGTCTCCGCACACCGCGCAGCGCTTTGCTCGCTCCAGCCTGAGTCATTACCTTCCTCTCCCATCCATCTTTCAGAGCGGCCTGGTAGTCTATTAGCAGTTTCCATTCTGCAGATGAGGGTGCCGAGGCTGGGGGAAGTGGCCAGCTTCCCGGGATCTCTGTCAGTGTCTTCGCCCTGCGCACCTCTTCCTCCCTCCTCTTCCTCCCTCCCTCTGCCTCTTCATAGCGTGTCCTGTGCGGGAAGGTGTCTAGTCCAAGCCCCTCGTGTCACAGATAAGTAAGCAGACAGGAAGGAAGGGACTTCTGAGAGGTCACAGGGCAAATCCTAACGGGACCAGAGTAAGAGACCCGGGCCCGACTCTCCCCACTGTGCCCAGAGTCCCCTCTCGGCCGCCTCCTGGCAGTTTCAGGTTAGGTAGCCCATGGGTGTTGGCTAAGGACCCCCAGGGCAGACCCTGGGAAAGAATGGGTGCCTCTCAGAGATCCCAAACTGAGAATGCTTGTTCATGGGTGTTGTGAAAGGGCCCTGGGAGGGCAAAGAGAGTCAGACTGGGGGACCCCAGTGCCACCTAGCCAGGATCCGGCCACTTTGGACTCAAGAGAGGGGCTCTGGCCAGAGGAGGGGAGCAAACTGCTTCTGCGGGGGCCTGCACTGAATCACAGCGGGGAGCGGGTGGGGCCGGAACCTGCGTAGCTGGGAGGAGGGAGGTAAGGGCCATCCAGTCTTCCAGAGGGGGCCCAACCTGGGGAAAGAGAGCTTCCATCTCTGCCTTCGTGGGGAGCAAGGAATCGGCGCCTCAGACAACAGCGTTTCAATTCTTCCCTAGGGGCCAGCTGGAGGAACTAGGAAGTGTAAACTCTCCTTCCTCCTCTTTCACGCCACTTCCCCCGCTGTCTTGCCAACATGCCCACTCCCCGAGCCACCCAGACATGCAGGCCTTTGCGTCCACCCCCTGACCTACGGCCCTGCCCTTAGCTTAAGCCATTGCGGCTCAGGGCTTTTTTCTCTCAGCTTCCCAGCTGTGGCTCTTCTAGCTGCCTGGGCCACCTGCAAAGACCCAGTCATGCCCAGCTTGGGGCAGAGGGTGGGCGATTGGGGTCACGCTCCCTGACCCTCAGCAGCATCTTCAGCCACACAACACACTGTCACCCCCAATTCTTACCATGGGCTGATCACATGTTACTGTATGCATTTGCATAATATCTGTAGATAATTTCTTCCTCAATTCTGGACAAAATGAGCCCAAACCTTCTTCCCTTCTGTCCTCCCTCCTTCCGCCCCTGCCTGTCCCCGGGCCAGGCCTCCTGAGGGATTCGACGGGTCTATCTGAGAACAAAGCTGGCCAAGGCAGGTCCAGCCCGGAGAGCCGCTCTGCAGGGGCGGGAGTCGGGGAGGGGTCGGCGCCGTGCGGTGTGGTGAGAAGAGCGCTTGACTGACTGTCAGACGCACTGGAAGCTGCCCTCTAGGCCAGACTCTGCCGTCACGGGCTCTGTGGTCTCAGCAAGTCACTGTTCCTCTCCCAGCCTCAGTTTACCCATCTGTTAAGTGTTGTCTATCGTCCTTTCCTGCTCCAACAGCTGGTAAGTCCATTCCAAGGTGGGAGAGACAGACTGAGACGGAGACCATGGAGACCACAGAGCTCAGTCTTCCCATCCAGAAACTTCTCAGTCCCAGCTCCCCCTTTGCGGTGTGGATCCCAGGGCTGAGAGGAGGGGAGCTTTGTGGTGGAGGGAAGTGGAGGGAGAGGGGAGGCCAGAGGTCTATGGTGGGGAGAGGACCATGGGGGAGGATGTAGGCAGAACAGGTAGAGCCAAGGTGTCTGGAATGTACCCTGAGCCAAAAACTCGCTGGCATTCACAGTGTGTCTAGAACCCCCTAACTAGATGACCCTTCCCACACCAGGGTCCCTTCATGCACTGCAGCCATGCGACTCTCCGAGCTTCACCCTCCAAAGCCTCCAAAGCTGAGCCTTGGTTTCCTTGTCTGTAAAATGGGCATAGGTATACCTACCACTTCATATGATAGTCGTAAGAACGCAAGGAGCTGACTTATAGAGAGTGTCTAGCACAGATATTTTAGGCAAGTGGGTGAGGCCAGGAGTTCAAGACCAGGCTGGGCAACACAGGAAGACCCTGCCTCTACAAAAAAAGGCAAGTAAGCAGCCCCAGGCCTGGCAGTTGGGGGGAGGGAAGGAGAGTGCAAACTTATGAGATCTGCTCTGGAGAGCCAGTGACACTAAAGGTACCACAAGTACCAAGTTTAGGCCCCTTAACAATGCCCAGTGCAAAGCTTCTATTCTGCACGTGACTCTGGGACCAAGATAGTGCCACAGGAGGTACAAATATCCCCAGCGCCTGGTCCTCACTCCCAATCCCCCCTTACCTCTTGGTCCTACTTCCGTCCTTTCAAAGCCCCTGTCCTGGGTTTCTCCACTAGCCCCTCACCCTGTGGCCTCTCCCCTGTGGGCAGGGGTGAATGGGGAAGAGGGAGGGCTGAAGCGGAAGCATGCCTGGGGGGTGACCCCGCAGGGCAGCCCTGCGCCTGCTCCTTCCTGGAACTCTCCGAATTGCACCAGACTCCCCAGGTCAGGAAGGGCTGCCCAGGGAGGCCAAAGTCATCAACCTTGGCCCTGCCTCGCAAGCCCAGCAAGGAAGGCAAGGGCTGGGGGTGTCAAGGCTTGGGGGTGGGGGCAGTGGATAAAGTATTAGAATGTTCCTCTGACCCTTTCCTGCGGGCAGGGGGATATTTTGGACCCTGTCTCATTTTTTCAGCATTACTCTGGGCAGCGGGTATACACAGAGGAGAATTGTGGGGTGAGAGCAGGCAGTTGGGACCAAAAGATTTCTGGGTGGCAGGGAAGCCCCTGGCCCTTCCCCGAAGGGGCCCGTCACCTGCCCTGTCTGGCCTGCAGTGACTTCTTGGAAGTTCCCTCCCTCTCCTTTTCTGCCACCCTTCTCCTCCTCCTCAGATTTGCAATCTAGGTCTCTCTGCCTCCTTCTGGCTCCTTTTCTAGGCCGGCCCTGTAGGAAGAGCACAGGCTGCGAGTCCCTGTGGGTCCGTGAGGAGAGTGGGAGGCCCTAGAGAGGTCAAGGCCGTCTCGCCCACGCTCCTCCAGACAGCACAGAGCTAGCTGCTCCTAAATCCTGAAGCAAGGTTGTTGCTTTCCATCCTTGCTCAGCCTCATCATCATTCATTATTCATTTATTTATGCCATCCCGCAAACATTTACGGAGCCCCTTTTGTGCACCAGACAGTGGGCTGGGCACTGGGGACAGAGACGTAAGGCAGCCGTAGTCTCCCCTGCCATCTCCAGAAAGAGTTCACAGTTGGGTAGGGACAGAGGCGACACGACCCCAATACACGCTCAGGCCCCCGTGGAGACCAGGACATGCCTCCCACGTCTAACCGCAGCCTCTCCTGCCCCCGCCAGCATGTGTCCCTTCTAATTGAACTCCAGCAGGGACAGCCGAGACCTCATGCCAGAGCTGGAAGGACAGCGGCAGCCTCTAACCTGGGGTCTCGCACACTGAGGACCCCTTAGGGATCTGCACTTGAACCTCAGGGCTTCTGAGTCTGGGAAGGAGGGTCAGGCCTTGGGGCTCAGGGAGCAAACCCTGAGTTTATATATTTATTTCATATATGAAGTGCTGGCGTAAGACTTTCTCTGAACGTAAGATTTTATTAGCCCTGTGGCTTTTAAAAAAGAGTGAACATCTGAGCTTCAACCCAACTCCTCCAGGTAAGGAAACTGAGACCCAGAGAGGGAAGAAACTTGTCCAAATGCACCCGGGAATGCCTGGTGCCTGAGAAGGGTCCCAGAAACGAGCGAGGCTCTGAGACCTGGTCCTGCCTGGCCCTCCGGGAATCCCTCCAGCACCAGCCTTCAAACTCAGAATTGGTAAGGCCAGGGCGCTGGGCTTTCGCCCCCTCCCCGTCTCGCGGGGCAGGACGGAGGCTGCACAGGCACTCGTGGGGACCGGCTCCGGGCAGACAGGTGTCTACGTAACAATAAAGGCCCTCTCATGTGGCACAGCAGTTTAGTGCTCGGGAACAAAGCCCCGCCGGCATCCACTTGCCGCTCACCTGGGCGGTAGCAAAGCAGGTGTTATTGTAACAGCTCCTGATCTCGGATGGAGAAGCCACGTGGCAGAGCCGAGACTGGAACCCGGGTCGTCCCAGGCCTGACCTCTCTGTGACGTGTGTGACTCATGACAGAGTGTGGGAGGCCTGCGTGGCGACTGGAATTGCCGAGCCATGTGGTCTGAGAGGGCTTCCCGGAGGAGGAGAATGGAGCAGCCCCGTCTGTTCGTTCCTGTCTTTGGTATTTATTGAAGCCCTGCTCTGATGGTGCCCTCTAAGAGCTCCAGACCTGGGGGCTGGAGGCCAGGTCAAGCCCGGCTCAGGGTCAAGCCCGGCTCAGAGCCAGCTAGAGCCCGAGGTGGTGTGTTCCAGGCGGCCTAGACTAGGGGGAAGGGCGCACCGCCCGGCCCGGGCTGGGACGGTTTCTGGAGGAAGCAACACATAGCCTGGTCCTTGGAGGAGGTGTAGGATGCTCTGTTCCCGCGGAGAAGGGCGGGTGGCGTGGGGGAGGACACTGTGGGCAGATGAAAGAACACACAGCCTGAGCAAGGACGTGGGAAACTGCTCAGCATGTTCCAGGCAAGACTTAGGGCCCGGCTGGGCAGCAGGGTGGCAGCTAGGGGCCACGTTGCTGGAGGCCCCCCAGGGGGCTTGAGAGGACTGCAGCGGGCAGTGCACCCAAGTCAAGCCACAGGCCTCAGTCCGGTCCGGCGTCACCTTTTAGCACCCACCACATCTCCCCGAGCTCAGTTCCCTTACCCACACGAGAGGAATGCCATTACCTCTTTCTCTCATTGGAGAGTGCTTCTTGGGTTGTAAATCACTAACAAATATCAGAGTCCACTCTACAGTAATGAGAAGCCTTTGAAGATTTTTGAGGATTTTCTGAAGCATCTGCAAGATGCTTTGGGACGACATCCGTGACGCCGTGCAGAGGGGGCGGGAGGACAGCGTGAGAGCAGGGGACCTGTCAGAGCAGCAGCAGTCTCGGTCAGAGACGATAGAAGGTTGAACCTAAGAGGAAGCCATGGGAGCAGAGGAGATGGATGGAGGAGAGAGATGTCCCATAGGAGGACTCCTGAGCTCACTGGGCAGCCAAGGGCAGCAGCCGGGGGCCACCTGAGACGCTAAGAGACTCTTGGGTTTCAAGCTGGGCTCTGGGGAACGCTGATGACTAGAAGGGGGATGTGATGAAGGGGGAGCTGGCTGGGGGTGGGGGACAGGGGCAGGACACGAAGTCCACTCCTAGACAGGGTGGGCGGGATGTGCCCACGGGAGGGGCGGCTGGCTTGGAAATAGCCAATGAGTGATCAGAGGTGAGTGATTGGGCTCAATGGAGGTGGCCGTCCAGGCCCTGGGAGGGGTGAGATCGCTCAGGGACAGGGTGCAGAGGAGAAGTTGGGGAGAAGCTGGGCTGTGCCCACGGTAAGCGGGAGGGGGAGCAGCGGCGGGGAGGGGCAGGCTCGGAGGTGACTCAAGAAGAAGGGCTGCTGAGTGGCTCAGGGCCAAAGGGCAGCCGTGAACAGTCTGAGGGGAAAGTGGCTGGATTTGGTGACAAGAAGGGAGTGAAGACCTCAGAGAACCCGCAGGGTGGGAGCACCTCTCTCGTGTTAATGGGGAGCAGGAAGGAGCGTGGAGGCCGTGGGTGCAGACTAGTCTTTGCAAGAGCGTGGCAGGGAGGAGAACAA